CATTTAGAATCTGAAAACTGCGGTTATATTTAATTAAATATGTATTGTAGATTTTTTTTTTGTATTCAAACTCGAAACGCTATTTGTTTCTTTTAGACACAAAAACTCGACTAAAAGCTGTTTTTTAAGATCATATTTTATTGAGAAATCTCGATGCAATAATCTCATTTTTTTACGACATTTTAAATGTCCTCAGAGATAAATTCCAATACAATAGTCGAAATTATTAATATAAAAACTTCTGTCCAAATAAAAAAGCACCAGTTTATGTCTAGAAAAAGAGCTAAAAAGTCAAAAGTTAAAAACCTGAATTTTGTTGGAAGTTTTGCATACATAAAGGATTTTGAGCAAATCTGACCAAAATCGCAGATTTTGATGCTCGTAATCATCTCATAGACACTTATCTCGCTTTTCTTCAGAATACGCCTGGCAAAAGTGTTCATTTGCAATCTTTTCCAAGAAAATAACGAATTCCTTGAATTTTATTTATTTGTTCACGAACTGACATTTTCGGTTGTTCATAAAATGACAAAAAGATTTTAAAAACTTACCACTTTGAAAATTTCTTCAGGTTATCGACGCGTAAAACTGATGTTGCCGTTCTACGAAAATCAGATCTCCAACGACTTGCTATCCGGTACGAAACCAATAGAAGGAAACTAAAAATTACACATTATTTCTCAATTAATGAATGACAAATAAATACGAAATGTAATTGGTGACATTTGCTGATATTCATAAAAGTGTTATGATATTAAAGATAATATTGAAGCTATAACGATAAAATGAAGAGGAAGGCTGTTTAATAGGCTAATTCCTTCACGTTTTCCAGAAAATGAACCCCAAGCACGACCAGAAATATTTTCCGTATAATAATTCATAAGACAAACTAATTATTAGCAAGTGATATGATTGCATTTATCAAATTCGATCAGCAAGTCAACAAATGATTCTTACCCGTCTAATGACAGCATCAGAATTAATGCGACTGCACTCGATGCGAACAGTAACCATTTATCAGTGAAGAAATACGAATTGGTCTTGAACATGATAATGCATCCGATGTAGAATGAGTTGAGAATACATGACTATAAAGATAATTTTAATCTTTTCAATTTGTCATTTTGTTAATTTGAAGATTACGAAGTCCTCATAACTATGCTAACTGTGCCAACGCGACTTTCCACTTCCAATTTGGTAATGATTAATGGAACCTACAATCCTCAAATTTAAACATGGATATAAAGCTGATTTTAATGATTTCTTGCTTCCAAGCAAGTTTTTCTATTCGATCATAACGTTACCTGTTTGAAGAATGACACATCTCGTCCTTTGATAGCATTAACAATGGAGAAAACCTTATTTCTTCGAATTGTCTGAAATAGAAAAAAAGATATTTAAAATAAATATTTGCAACCTGACCTATGCATCGGTCTGAAGGTTTACCTTATTACTGATACTAATATACAATGAGTCACTTGTCACAAGTAAACTTACCCTACGATATGCAAGTATTTTTATCAAGGTAGTGAGATCAGTGCATCCAGTTGCCGCTATTATTCCTATCGATATTACGGTATCAGTATAAGCACATATTTTACCACAGAAAGAATTTTGATAGAGAAAGGTATAGTTCCAGTTTTCATTGAATACAAATGAACATCCTTCTGCAAATTAAATTAGTTAATTGAAATATTAAAAGCATCGAATCCTCCTTTTTAGAATTCTAATAAAAGTTCGCATTTCGAGGTGCTAATTATCTAATACCATTAAGTCATTAAGTCTTTATCACTAAACCATTAAGTTATCATAAAATTGTTTAATAACTAATAATTGCGAGAATCCTTTTCGTTTGTAATAAACTTACTGTATAACTGTACCATGCACAAGGAAGTTCCAACTGTCCATGAAAAGATTCCAGCAGCGAAAGCCTTTGATTCTGACCATAGTTCCCTATATCTTATCGGATATACAATAGCGCACAATCGATTAAGAGCAACAAAGAAATGCACAAAAAGCGATCCAAACCACGCTCCGTTCACCAATACGCCTATTAGTCGTATGGAAAAAATTGTTGATGACGATAATGTTGGAGGTTTTCTAAATTAAAAATTTTCAAACAAGGTAATTAAGAAATTGTGAGTGAACGAAGTAAATTTTTTCATAAAGCAACCGTAACTTACACGCTTAAGACGATAGTACACCATATCAAAAGTAAAACTATGGCTTCTAAGTTGCAAATTAGATAACTGCTGCATAGAGCTCCAAATGCACTGCGGAAGAGTGATCTCGTGCGTGTTATGTAAAGTGAGAAACCGTTGCTGAGCAGCCCAAATAAAGATACCTGCAATCCAATTCATCTTCGACAAATATGAGAAGTATTGTGTTAAGAACAGCTAGATTTATAGCTTCCAATTTCTCCTCCATAACCGAAGTTGAGCTTTCTTCCTATTATAGATTCTAGCTTTCTATTTCCATAAATGATATTATCTCATCTTTTCTGACACTGTCATCCAAATAGCTTCGCTAAAGTATTGTAATTGTCACTTCAGTGTTTCCAGAAATGAAAAG